GAAAGCTCCAAGACCATTGGCTCTGGGTGAAGCACACTTTGAAGTTGCAGCAGCTGACCTACCTGAAGAGGCCGGCAAGGGCCAGTCTTGCTCCTGCTTGGTCCATCAGTCTATGTTTCTTTTGCCCACCAGACTGACTCATTGCAGCAGGTCCTGAATGAAGCCCCTGGGCGCCTCAAGCGCTTATGTCGACGGCTCGCCAATGGGGACACTGAAGTGGAAGCAATTCATGACGTCCAAGCCCCGCTCATACTGAACTTTATAGATCAAGGCAGTGCTGCCTGGACCGGCAGATGCCATTGCCATTACAATGAACACCTGAGAGTTTTGGTGGGCGTTCAGCATGTATTACTTTATTTGCACTGATGTGATTATTTTCACAGTCCTTGCTAAGCCTGCTTGTGGTTATCTGATGGACCTGCCAAGGGATGGTCGAGTGGCTCGATATTGTCCACAGAAGAGACAATAACGTGAAACTCGTCTTCAAGCAGGCACCGGTCCAAAGCCTAAAGTACAATCTGAGACTGACTGACTGACTGACTAATGCTAGGACCCTGACCCGACATGCTTGACACTGATTCTGATCTCTTTCACAGCCTGTGCAAGGCCGGCCTGAATGCCACGAAGGTCGAAGCCCTGATCTGCCTCAATCTGATGGGGGGGCCTTGGCAAGGGTCTGGAAACCTGGGCAAGCTTGCTGGTGCTTTGGAACAGTTCATGACCATGCAGACGCCTGAGCACCCGCTGTTTCAGTCCTGCTACGATTTTCTGTCTGATTCCAAACATGGCAATGACAGGCCGTGGAATTTTGGCAGTCATGAACACCAGGCTGACGTATGGCACTGGGTGAAAACAGCTGATGTTTTCCAGAAGAAGTACGAGACAGTGAAACTGAGTCGATGGCACAACTTCACGGCCAAAGCAGCACGACTGACAAGGTTCTCTGGCCCGCTCTTCTTCGCAATCATGGTCTACAGTTTTTCTGAGCAGTGGTACAAGTCAATCTATGACACGCCACTTGGAGGGAGATCCTTCACAAGCCTGATGGACCAGGCCAGCGGGCAGATTTGGTAGGTTAGCCTGAAGCAGTTTCCTGATGGTATCGTTTCCACCAAGTGTTCTTTTCCTGAGCCCACTGACTGAATGCAGGACTCCTCAGAAGCTGCCGACCCTGAGAATGAGAACCAGGCTGACGATCAGCAAGCTGAAGCAGCGCTTTCCTCCTCCTCCAGGGCCGGAGCTCCAGATCCTGATCATAACCCTGCGCAGGTCGGCATGAAACAATCACAGCTACAGCTGGAAAGAACAAAGCTGAGCAAAAAATTCAAAAACACCATGCAAATGTGCCTGTGGTGGCTGGCTGACCGCTGTAAACGTGCAACTGCAGTGATGATGTCGAAGGTCGCCTACCCGCTGTATGTTGCACATGCTGAGCTACTTGTTTTCAATGACTCTGTATGTCTTTCACCAGTTCAGGTTTGCATTGTGTTTTGTACTAAGTAACAAGTAACTAGGATGCGAGTTTTTGAGGCGAAATCGGTGTCTCAGGCAATGCAAAGCTTTCAATACAGCGGATGGAGTTCGTGAGTGGCACGTGAATGCATCTCGCGGTACGTTTCTGAGAGAGTACCTGAAAGATGTCTTGCTGACTCTGACCGACCAGCAAGTCCTTCGCGAGATTGGTTTCAACCTGAACACCAGCCGAGCAGCAAATGGTGGCGACAGCCTGAAAGAGGACACATACTTGGCCTCAGTGATGTCAGACCTGGCCCGCAGGATGTTTGCCATGGAGTACAATTCAATGCTTCTGTACCGCTTTCGTCCACCATATTGTTTTGCTGCGTTGGTGTCATCTGAAGCTGCTGATGTTTCACAGTGTCTAGATGAACTGAAGACACTGTGGGCCAAGCTTCTCGAGGCTGAACTTGCAGCGATTCAGGACAAGTGGCTGGCAAATTTCCTGCGTTCACTGCTATGGCCGCGGTCCACATTCTGCCGTGAGGTCTTGATCTCACTGGCTGAGTGCAACTTCGACCACGTGCCTCCTGACATCACTGAGAGGCTGACCAAGGCATGGATCGTTGAAAGTCTGTAGTCGTGAAACTGAACTTCTGACACTTTAGACCTGAACCGCCAAAGCCTGTTATTTGCCCACTATTTAATTATTTAAGTGAGTCCACTGCGCAGGTTTTCAGATCCTTGGCGACGTCCCGAGTCTGTGAGCAGGCCTTCAAGACCCTGACTGAAGATGCGGAGAAAACTTCACGAATGGGACGCTGGTCGAGGCTGATCCACTCAGATGTCCTGAAAATGGCCGGCCGCACAACGGTGGCACCTGACATCCGTCATGCCGCCGCAGCGCGCAGTCAGGGCCTCCAGGCGAACGGAAAGATAAGCGTCGCCACCGACACAGGTTTCAGTTTGGGCCCTGAGTTCCTGAAAAAGTTTCTTGCAGACACAGAGGCTTTCGGCCTGACTTCGTACAACCTGGGTGGTGTCGCAACTCTACAACTCCTGAAGGCAACAAACCTGACAGGAATGCGGCAGTCCTACTTGTCACTGATGGCCATTCCTGGGCATTTGTTGTGGCGACCTGATTTGGGACAGCGAGGGTACTGGGTCCTGAACACATGTGTTCATGGTGCGCTCGTGGTGGAGCTTACTGGTCCTGATGCTCACCATCGTTTCCGCCTTGAGCCACAAGCTGCTGAGAAACCTGAGCTGCTGCCGATCACCAATCCTGGTGGTTGGAAGGCGCGGAAACTGACAGCTGTACCACCTGTGCGAGCTCCTGACGGTCAGCAAAACGAGATCATTTTTCAGCCTGATGAAACTGGCTACAGTCTCCTCGAAAATAGTCAATGCTTTTGTCAATTTTGTTGTGTAAATAAGTTGTTCTAATTCACATGCAGCAACTAACTGAGCTTGCAAAAAAAACCTGACATCTCAGGTCTGTTTGGGGTGGCATGCCGCAGCGGATTCCCCGGCTTCACCCTGACGCAACTGACGATGCTGGCTGACTACCTCGGCTTGGACCGACGGGGAGTGCCACGTCTTCTGCCTGATCTCCTTCACCTCCTGTGCCGTCATGGCTGGCCATCCATGACAGAGGCTGATTTTAAGGAGATCCTGACAAAGCGTGGCCAGAAGCCGCTGAAGCAGGCAAGCCTTCTGCAAGATGGTTTCGACATCGCCGCAGAAGCTCTAGAGCCTGATGATTTTGCTGAGCTTGAAGAGCTTCTGGCAGACGAGGCGAAGGAGTGGAAGAAGCCTGTTCAGGCCAAGGCCAAGGCAAAGAGCAAGGCCCGCAAGAAGGCCGCGCCACTCCTGAACAAGAAAGTCCTGAACCTGGACGAGATACGGCGTTATTTGCCTGAAGTCAGTGGCTGCAACCTGACGCGTGAAAGAGACTGGCACCACAGGTACAAGATCTCGTACCCGCGCGACCTGCCGCCATTCTCCTTCTCCATGGTTTTTGGAGATGCTGGCCAGCCTGATAGTAATAAGCCCACCATGCGTCAGGCAGCTGTCGCTTGCATTCGCTGGGCTTGGACTGAGCACGAGCAGGCCACAGGAAATCCCTGTCCTTGGAATCTGGACGACAAGTGACTGACTCCACTGACGACCCGACTGAGCCACCATGTGTGATGTCTCTGTCTCTTGCGTTCGCTAAGCGTGGACTGATGGCGAGCGTGAAAAAGTCTGCATGTCAGTG